TATGCACACTTATGTGTTTGAGACAGGCCCGGTAAGACAGTAGACTTTATGTTTCATTTGAGCCATTGAATTTAATGGACTTGAAGAAACCTGCATGTACATGTATTCGTACATGTGTGGTGTGGACATGTATATGTGTACATGTATGTACCGTACATGTACCTACATGTTGAAAATTCATGGGTCAGTGCAGTTGTGGTCTGTTTATTAAACTCTGTTTGCCCATGTCATGGTTCAAAAAATTTCATCCTGTTGCTTATGCACCAAGTGCAAGTGCACATGCACATGTATGATCAGTTTTAAGACATTAATTTTTATCACATTGACAGGGTGCAGGTAATACAAACCTGTCCAAATCCAGTGAACAGCTGATGAGCCAAGCTAAAGAACATCATGGTGGTTCTTTTGATTCACTCTTCACTGACGACTTTGACGATGGCGTGCTTCAAGCAAGGAGATTGAAGCTGAATACCACCATCAAAACCAACAGGGGACCAACTGCACTAGGAATAACACGGTAGAAACCAGTCCAGATACTTGTCCCCGGCTTGGTGTAGTGCTAGGTTCTCTGGCAGAAATGCTGCTGTTTAATTAAAAGAAGCAAAGTAGTATAGAAACCAACTCAGTCACTGGTGCCCCTCATCCTGAGTTACAAAACTCTGAAGATTTATTTACTCATTTGAGATCTTACAATTCTTTAGTTGTTACTGAGAATAATAAAACTGAACAAAGTAATGAATTTGAAATGCCTCTCAGAGAGAGGCACTCCTCAAAGTCGAATGAGAAATGTGTAACTTCCAGTGCAATAAATAGATTTAAATCAAATACAGATGCAAAATGTGTGCGGCCAGCTGCTCCTTGCTTGCCTGACAAGCATAAGAGAGAGGACAGGATCATGAATCCAGAAACAATGTTGCTGATTCCTCCCCACCGTCACACATGACTCATGAAATACAATCCCCAACAGACTCGTTGCTTCTCTCCTCCTGGGGCTTGCCTGAGCAGATCACTGCCGCCACATCGCCAAGATGTTTCCCTGGCATTCTGAGTTCTTTGCTAAGGGCAGGGAATTGGATGGGGGAAACCTGGCCAACTCGGCCCCCCCCCAGCACTGGCAAGACCCTGGTGGCCGAGCTGTTGATCTTGAAGAGGGTATTGGAGGCAAAGAAGAAAGCCCTCCCGATTCTGCCGTTTGTCTCTGTGGTGAGGGAGAAGATGTTCAACTTTCAGATGAATGCATCATGCTCTAGAATGTACAGTAAAAAGTACCTGTAGTACTTTCTGGCATCCACATGAAGAAGCTGGCTTCAAGTCTTTCTCTGCTTCATACACTGACAGAAATCTTCTTTTGCGATTCCAACTCAAGTGAGTGGCTCCCCATTGAAACAGTACTGTTCCTTAGTTTTCATGCAGCTGATGGTACATGTACAGTATCTGACAGTGAGAGAGGAATGTTATTTCTCAAGTTTAGTTCAGAACTGTAGCCCAAATGGTGTAACACTCATGTCTTGTCAACTTTGTCTA